CAGGGATTCCTGATAGGTCTTGGTCTTTGTGTAATGAGTTGGGCGGTGAAGCATCCCTTGAACAGACCAGGAAGTCTTGCATGGCTAAGATGGAATAGCACTGACTGTACCAGGAACTCCTGTTGCCTGGCTATGGTGAAGGATGTGAGTGTAACTAAGCAGTCATCTCCTGCCCTATCTGAATTGTGGCCTGAGTGGAATGGTACCATTGTTACTGGAGTTTTGGAAACTCTAGTAATTACCAATCTGGATTGTGGCCTAGATGTACAATTTATGGACAACTAAAACCAATCACCTTGCGACTCTATAAAGAGTGGTCTTAAGAGAGGCCCTTTGAGCTCTCCTGGGCTGCAGAGTGCTGTACAAGCACCTCCCTCTGAGCGGGACACCTCTCAGAGGTCATGAACTCGCAAGTATGCGATACTTGAAGGACTGTAGCTCAGCCCTTGCCTGTTGAAAAATGCAGAGGCATTCAATGTATTTCACTGAACCTGAAGGGAATTTTTACCAGGTACCTTTACACATTTAGATACATTCATCTCTGTGTCCATGTGCACACGTGTGAATTGGCTGAAATACTCTTTACCAAGTGTAGTATGAACGTTGTTTCCTGAATCTATAATTAAGTCATTGTTATAATTGTAGTAAATCCTATTGAATCACTTCATAAATGTTAAGTTAGTCAATGATTAAGTGCTGCTAAAATCTAATTTAGACAGAAACTATTGACCAAATCTGGGACTAAGTTTGGATCTAGCCACACCTGGACTCCATCAGGAGTTTGAAAAGTAAAGGAGTCCATTCCGAACCTTGTGACCCAATGGAAGGATTTTATATTGAATTTTTAGACATAAACCATTGACCAAGCCTGGGACTAGGACTGGATTCAGCCACACCTAGACTCTGTCAGGAGTTTAGAAAGCAAGATCCTTTCTGAACTTTGTGACTCAATAGGAGGGTCTTCCTTACACTTTGCACTCCCAGTCTCCATGCAAGTCATCCTAAAGCTATTCTAAGCTGATTTTCCTTTGCATTTTTCATCCATGTAGTAAGAGAGTGAACCTTGACATCAAACTCTGTTAAGTTGCACTTCTGCAAATTTATATTAAAACTTGCTTTTGCTAATATCTTTAATGGTGATTGTTGCAGTGGCCTAAACCACCCATTCACGACACCATCCAGCAACAGGCTTACAGGCAGACTGAACAGCAAGCTTTGTTGCATTTTTATCTGCAGCTCAGACTCCCAGGAATAAAAATATTACTTCTGAAAGTAAAAAGTCTTCATAACATTGCTGTTATTTTTCACCTTAAACTCAGAAATCAGGCATCTCAGAAACTCACCATCTCCAGAGTAGGAAAAAAAAGGTGGTTCTGTAAGACTTAGAATTTAAGAGTAGTCCACCACAAAGAATAAAACTTTTGACATTCAACTTATAATTCACAGAACCACAGAATCATTTAGGTTAGAAAACACTTCCAAGATCACCAAGTCCAACCTCTGACCAAAGACCACCTTGTCAACTAGACCATGGCACTAAGTGCCGTGTCCAGGCATTTCTTGAACACCTCCAGGGATGGTGACTCCACTACACTCCTGGGCATCCTGTTCCAAAAGTTCATGGCCATAGTGAATAAGAGGCAAAGGTGTTTTGAAAGAAAAATCTTTTGAGCCACATTCTAATTATAGATCACTTAAGACTTTACGTATTTCTAGCAATCAACCTCCTCATTTCCAACATGCTGCACTAGTATCCTTCTGAGTTGTTTAGTTTTTAGCTAAGAAGAAAATTCAATCTCTTAGGTGAGGGTACACAAAGCTACCAAACAGAATATGGAACAAGAATATTCTTTTCCTCAAGGATCTGCAGAACACATTGCCTGGTAGTCCTGCTGCTGCTGGTGAGCACAACTGATCTATGGAAACACTGGGCTCAAGGAGAGTAGCTCTCCTGGTAAAGACAAGTGAACAAGTAGACTGCAATAAAAGTAGGTCTGTGGCCAGTCTCTTCCCAGCAGTAGCTGTACTTCAACTTCTGTGCTAACACCAGGCCCTTTACTGCAGCCTGCACTACGGACAATGCAGGAGAGAAGTCCATGGTGACAGAGTCCCTGTCAGACAAGGATTATACTGGGCAAGGTTTCTCTCTGTCAGGGGTCCCTTACCTGTGCCTGGAAATATACATTATAGGCACTCCAGGGATTTTTCGTATTCTCCGCTTGAGCTCTTTATCTACGGTGGCCACAATGTAACATTTGTGCTGCAAAAAAAGAAGGCAGGTCAGATTTAACACCAGCGAACCAACAGAAAGAAGACATAACTGATCAAACGCTTCTATTCAGTGAGCTCGTTAAACACAAGAAGGCTAAGAATCCTTAGCAAGGCATTACTAGGACTTGTACAGAATTCCACAGCAGACTAGTAACATTCTTCTGCTCGTCAAAATAGACTCACAGAAATTTCTGAAGGTCTGTCCAGCCTTCCAAGCTGACAGCTTTCCCATCCTCAAGAATGCCCAGAGAAGACAGTACCTTGCATCAAATACAGTTGTTCTAGGGACTGAAACTGCCTCTTAGTGAAATTTTGTAGTTACTTTGTGGGAAATTTAAGTCATTAGTAGTTAGGAGGGTTCAGGAATTTTTAGTATGTTAGCACAGTACAGAAAATGTCAGAGAGGGAAATACCTGAGTGACCCTCTGTACCAAGCAGTCATCTGCGTAGGTTCCTTTGTGCATACATGGCAAGCGTTCAAACCGAGGGTCCTTGGCAATTCTGTGGGGGCAAATATAAGGCAGCATCACAGCAATCAGACCACAGAGTACAGTAACACAGTACAGAGGAATAAGAACACTGCTTTCTGTGATATACAGACCATTGTTCTCAAAACAAGGGCTGAAGGGATGGAGTAAATGGTACATAAAAGTCAAATGAAATGAGGAGCAAAAAAGAATGCAGTTTGTCTAATTATTATAGGTTAAGTATTTCTTAGTACTGGTTAGTTGGATTCAAAATCTGTAAAATATCAGGCCATTGCCAAACAAAGTAATTTGAAATAAGTTATCTCTGGGAAGAACTAGAACTCCTTCTGGTGTGTGATCGTTCACACCATGCATATAGGGACATTGCACCTTCTCTCTGAAGGGCAACATCGAAGCTGCTTAGGGGATGTACTTGGATAGTTTACAACACAGCAGGACAAAATACAATACATCTGAGTGGAGGATATGGACTAGTGTTGTACAGATCACACAATAACCTAGCTCTAGATTATCAATACATGGTACCTACTCATACAGGAGTAACATGAAGTATGAGTAAAAAGTTCCATAAGACTCAGATCACTTCTTTATTCATTTTTAGAAATTCTAAAATTTAAAAAAATATATTTTTTTTGAGAAACAAGAAAAAGGCTTACTTTGAAAGTCTTAGCAGAATGAAAGATTACAGATTGATACTGTGCACTCATACATAGCATTTTGTTTTAAAAACCAAAAAAATCTAAAACTCTAGACATTGTACCCATCTTGTACAGCCAGAGAACTAAAACCAAGTTCAGGACTCTGCAACAACCTAACCACCCTCTAGTGCAGGAGCATGTCATGGCAAAAGAGAAGAGAGCACCCTGCACCTACCTTAACGCCACACGGTACTTCTGTCCTAACTTTTCAATTTCACCCATTACACAGTCTGTGATACATGGAATACCTAAATGGAAAAAAAGCCTGTATTAATACAAAGCAATATTTATTCACAGACTTCTATATTGCCCACATGTCCAGGAACGATCATGGAACTCTAAAACATATTACTTACTGCAAGAACTGATAAGGTTGCAAAGTGATGAAATGTAGAGCCACTGAGTTTGACCATGCCATGGTAATTTTAGATATTTAAGTATTAATGCTCTACCTTTGTTGAGACTAGCATTTATGACCACTGTTTGACTGAAACCAGAGGCAGTTCCAGGGTTACCATAGCCATGAACAATCAGCTCCAAGATTATGGCATATATCCTTTTTTCAATATTTCTGTTATTTTCAGCCAGTGGCATGAGGCTGACAAAGCACATTCCAAGCACAGTGTGGCACTGCTTAGTCAGAAGCTTCGAGTGGTGCGGACACTCACACTTGGCATAGAGACAGTCCATCATTGACTGCACTAGGTCCAGCTTGGCCTTGATGGAGAAGTTGATGAAGTTAGTGTCAACCAGGATGTGGTAAGGGGGGCCCAGCTGTGTATTATACTGGAAGAACAAGCAAGAGGGATGCTGGGGGCTGCCAGGAAGACAAATAATTCAAGTCAGTTAAATGCATTTAACAACATGTCCAATCCTACAACTTGCAGAGAACGAAAAAGGAGTAATGAGCAGAAAGACTCCTGCTGCCTCTTAAGCACAGTCCCTTGGTTTGGCACACCATGTCCTTTTCTGATAGTTTTGCTCAGAAATATCCTCGGTTACAGCCTGCAGCGTGGCCGGACCTCGCTCCCTTCTTCCCTCTCTCCATCCCTCTCTCCTCAAAGTGTCGGCAGTACTTACACCTCCCGCTCTTTGATGGCGCTCGGGTCCTCTTTCTTCTTCACGGGGGCTTTCGCCCGGTCCTTCTCTTTACTGCAAAGAAACACAGGCACTTCCTTAGGACGAGTGACAGGGAAGGGCGGCCAGCGGCGGAGAGGCTCGGGCCGGGATCCCCTCCCGCCTCTCCCGAGCGGGACACGAGGACGCTGCAGGGCCCCGCCTGGGAGCGCAGCCACACTCACATGCGCTCATCCCGGAGGCTGATCATGCGCTTCATCACCGCGTACTTCCGCGCCTTCTTCTGCTTCCCCTGCAGGGAGACGCACACTCAGCCGCAATGAGCCGAGGAGAGACCCGACCCCAGCCCGTCCCCCCTCGGCCCGCTCCCGGCTCACCATGCCGATCACGCTGACCCCGCCGCTCCTGCCTCTGCCGTCGGTGCCCCGGGTGCGTCACTGGGCCCCGCCCCGGGAGCGCGTCACCTCCGGCTGCCAGCGCCGGGCAGCGGCCGCGCGGGGCAGCGGGACCGGCGTCGCGGCCGCCGTCGGAGCCCAGGGTAACGGCGGGAGCGGCGCGTTCCCTCAGCCGCTACGGCCCCGGGCGCGGGGAGCGGGGCTCCCGGGGCGAGGGAGCTGCAGCCCAGCCTGGCCGCCCCGCCGCGACGGGCGTCCCCCAGGGGGTGGCGGCCCCGCTGCCGGCCCGGAGCGCCCGCGGGAGGCCTGGTACAGCCGCGGCGGGGGTCGCTCGGGGCTCCCGGCGGGCGGGAAGGGCCGGCTCTGCCTACCCCGCCGCGGCCTCGCCTTTTCGTTTCGGTGTAGCCTCGCCGCTTGCGCGGCGTTGCGGGTGCATCGGTGGCACGTCGGGTAGGGTGGGGGGACTTGCGCCTGTGGGAAGGCCGTGGGGTTTGGTGACCCCGCCGAGCCCACCTTGCACACCGATCTCTCTCCTTTCCCCATTCTCACTGTTTAGCACAGCCGGGAGGTTACGGAGGTCTTCAGCCCACTCACTTGAGCTTGCTGGACTGTTTTTTTTTTTTTTAAGAATTAATGTAGTGCTGGTTTTGCCACAGTCTAGCTCGTAGACTTCTTAATGAAAAGCAGTAGGCTGTCATTATCTTTAGATCTTACCTACATTTGTGACTAGAAATCTTAGCAAATGAGCATAATTTCAGCTGTGCTTTATGCAGCCGTAATAGTGTAGTCTGACCCAAAATGTTTTTTCTGCACGTGAAAGGAAATATTCTCTAAGTTCTTGGACTGGTCTGGAGCACCTGGTTTCTCATGCCCTTTGCGGGAAAGGGAGAGAGAAAGACCTTTCTCATTAAAACTTCTGGGATTAGTGAGAACTTGTAGCTTTTAGTATCTTCCAAATACAACCGGTTTTATCTGGTGTGCTGGTCAGAAAAAGCAGCCAATGAGGTACCACATGGGAATTTTTCCTGAAGCAGTGACCTGTGTAGAACTGTGACTGAGGCTCTGACAATGAGGAAGAAAATGAAGCTGAAAGAAGGGTGTTAGGGAAACCATAGCTGAGCTTTCTGCCTGGGTGATCATACCCTGCTTAATTGTTGGTTGAGGAAACCCAGTTGGTGGAGCTCCCATGATACTGCTTAAGTGACCCTAAATGGTTTGGGAAAGGAAATAATTGAGGAGGAAGGGGGTGATCTGTTTTTCCCACTGATATGTAGGGTTGCAGGTGGCTGAATGTTGTTCTGGCTTGGAAAGCAGATCTGGTACAAGATGAGGCTGGACTGAAAGTTGCCATCTGGCTGGCTTGCTGCATTTGAGGAGGACAGAAGGAGCTGACACTGCTGGTGGTGGTTCATTTGCAATGAAAAGTCTTTAGACTTAAGCAGTTGGCAGAAGTCTCCTTTTTTTTTCCCTGTTGCCACTGTTTTTTTAGCTTGTATGTAAATGAATATGACAAATTCCAGCCCTGATGAGAGAATGACTGTTTTGTGTAGACACTGGCCATTGATGTGGCTTTTGTTCTTGATAGCTGATACTGGATCCTGCGCTGACTTTTCAGTTTCCTGTGAATATATTTTAAACTTAAGGTCTCATGGGCATTCTTGTTTGTTGGCTTGTGCATGATTTACTTAGTGGGAGAAAATACTGTGCCTTTCACTAGAGAATAGTCATCTTGTGCATGGCATGAGATGGACATGCCATTGGTAGTGGACATTTGTGCCCATGGATTGAGAGGACATTCTGCACAGAGATAGTTCTCTTATCTTAGTTGGATGAAGTAGTATCAACCTGCAAAAAGGCTTTAAAACAAAATTAAAAGCATGTTGTTAAAAAACAGAGGAAAGGCAGTTAAATGTATCAATGCACCAAATAAAACCAAGAGGCATTATAGATTTCTTAGAATCTCAGTACATCAGTTCTTTATAGCATGCACCCAACTGGCTTTGTAGCTGTAGCCACATGAATGTGCCATTACTGTGTTACTGTTCCTTTTATATGTATGGCTACACTTGTGCTTCCTTCTGGAGCTTTGCGCTGTGTGCCTCTGACTTCACAGCAGCCATAACACAACAAAATGTATTCCCATTACTGGACTTCCTTTTCTTACTGACTTGAGAGAAGCAATGGTATGAATACTGTTTATTTTATGATTCCATGCTGTCTACCTTGATTATGCCAGTATTTCTTCTTGAGTCAAACCAAGGTGAACCTTTCCAAATCCCCATTTTTCCCGCAGGTGGTGGGAGACCATTGCTTCCTCTGTACTTGGATTAAGATTATTAAGACCTGGTGGACAATTCAGCATTTTTTTCTACCCAGCTATGATGGCATGTTCTATTGCTGATTTTCAGAATTTGTCTCCCGGATTGTTACCCAACAGTTCTTAGCACAGATACTGTTGCAGTTTACATCTGCATTCTGTTAAGTGAGTGACAATATGTCTTGGATACCAGCTACTTGCAACTAGATTCTTTACCTCAATGTATTCCAGCTGCAAGACCATCCTTAAAACTGCAAGCAGTGTGTAAACTAGAAGAAAGTTGATTGTCTGACAGCCACTTCATCTCTGGAGGTCACCGGACTTGGTGCCTTGTTTACCACTTCATGTGGGGGTAATAAATGAGAAGCTGCTGTGCTGATTAATGGAGATAACTAATTCCCTGTGTCCTCCAAGTTCAGAAATTCTGCAACCCAGATCACAAGACTCAGGCTCCAATTGACTTAAAAACCCTTGTAGCTGAAATGATGGATCTTTCTCTTTTTTACTTGAGCGAGCGCCTGTGTGACTTGTGGTTTGCTTTACAGAAGGAAAGGAGTTGCAGAGTCAGGCAGAAATAGCTTGGGTAGATGAATCTACAGGGCCAGCTTTGTGTTGATGTTTTTTTGGTGACATGAAAAATCTGGTTCTGTAAAATGCTGGAGGGAGATCTTGTAGATTCCTAAATATTGATAAGTTTCTGTGAAATTCCTCAGCTGTGTGGGGAGTAGCCACACACCTTTGACAGCCAGGCCAAGCTGAAGCAGGGTTTCAACCAGGCATTTGTAGGACATCTTGGATATGTACTGTAAAATAACTAAAATATCAAGAAATTTGCTAGGTTTATGATTCTTAATACACAGAGATTATTTATGGGTTTAGAAACCTAAAGCTTCATCTAGGAGGAGAATGAAAACTTATGGCCTGGGGACTGCAACACTGTTCACTAAGTAGAGGAAAGAGGAAAACAGCTGAGTGGGTGGGATTTTCCGTGAGATGTGGGTGAGGAAAAGACAGTGAAAGTCTAGCTGCTTCTGCAGTGCAGTCAGAGAGCTCTGCACAGACTCACTGGTTGGTTTTCATATGCATTAGAAAGCTTAGTGGAAGTGTGCGAAGGCAGCCAGATCTGTATGATTATTGGATGGAGGGAAATAAGAGACTTATGAAGAGGAGGGCAGATGAGGGGGGACTAAGAAGGAAGTGACAGCTGAGGTGGTGGTATGGCAGGCGGGAGGAGCACATCACTTACATCCCCAGAAGAGGGGACTGTCTTAACAGACAGCTGCTGTGCTGAGCCTGGGTCTTTTCATTCTCACTCCTTTATGTAATCTGTGTTCTGAATGAGTAGATACTGACTGTGTAAGGTCTGTGGTGTTTCTTCTGGCGTATGTCCTGGTTTTTGTGGGCTGCGTCAATCCTTGCTGTTAAATTTTAATTTCTTTTTATCTCAATCCTGACAGTAAACTGTAATTTAGTGAATAGTGCTGCTGAAACTGAAATCCCTTATGAGGATATTGGTTTCCTGAATACCTCAAACAACAACAGCAGGAAAAAAAAATATCCAGTTTGCTTTGTGGTCCAAGAACTTTCAAAGACTTTTTTTTCTAGCCTTGACCATAAATAGCCCTTTAAATCTGAGCAAAATCAGTCTGAGAATAGTGTATGGCATTTTGTTGGGTGTAAAGGCTTGAAGTGCTACCTGATCATAGACTGGTTTGGCTTGGAAGGGACCTTAAAGAACATCTAATTCCAACTCCCCTGGGCAGGGACATCTTTCACTAGATCAGGTTGCTCAAAGCCCCATCCAACCTCACCGTGAACACTTCCAAGGATGGGGCAGCAACAGCTTCTCTGGGCAACCTGATCCAGTGCCTCATCACTCATAGCGAAGAATTTCCTCCTTATTTCTTCCTAATCTAAACCTACCCTCTTTCAATCTGAAGCCATTCCACCTTGTCCTATCACTACATGCCCCTGTAAAAGTTCCTTTTCATCTTTCTAGTAGGCCACCTTTAGGTACTGGAAGGTGGTATAAGCTCTCTTCAGCCTTCTCTTCTGCAGGCTAAACAACCCCAGCTCTCTCAGCCTGTCTTCACAGGAGAGGTGGTCCAGCCCTCTGATCATCTTCATGGCCTTCCTCTGGACCTGCTACAACAGGTCCATGTCTTCCCTGTACTGAGGGCACCAGAATTGGACGTCGTTCTCCAGGTGCGATCTCATGGGAGCAGAGTAGAGGGGAGAGTCACCTCCCTTGACCTGCTGGTCACATTTCTTTTGATGTAGCCCAGGATATGGTTGGCTTTCCAGGCTGCAAGCATACATTGTCAGGTCATGGAATCATAGAATATCCTGACTTGAAAGGGACCCACAAGGATCATTGAGGTCCAACTCCTGGCCCTGCACAAGACAGCCCCAAGAGTCACACCATGTGCCTGAGAGTGTTGTCCAAACATTTCTTAAAGTCTGTCAGGCTTGGTATGGTGACCACTTCCCTGGGGAGCCTGTTCCAGTGCTCAAACACCCTCTGGGCTAAGAACCTTTTCCTAATATCCAGCCTAAACCTTCTCTGACACAGCTTCATTGCATTCCTTTAGGTCTTTCCTTTGGTCACCAGGGAGAAGAGATCAGTGCCTGCACCTCCACTTCCCCTTGTGAGGAAATTGTAGGCTGTGATGAGGTCTCCCCTCAGTCTCCTCCAGGCTGAACAGACCAAATGACCTCAGCCATTTCTCATACAACTTCCCCTCCAGACCCTTCACCTGGGTGGCATCTTCATACCTTTGTTTGTATGCTCTCTAATAACTTTATGTCCTTCTTATATTGTGGCACCCAAAATTGCACACAATACTCAAGGTGAGGCCCCCCCAGTGCAGAGCAGAGCGGGACAATCACCTCCCTTGACCGGCTGACGATGCTTTGCCTGATGTCCCTCAGGACACGATTGGCCCTCCTGGCTGCCAGGGCACTGCTGACTCATATTCAGCTTGGCATCAATTGGGACCTTCAGGTCCATTTACGTGATCCTGCTCTCCAGCACCTCATTCCCCAGTCTGTATGAACATCGAGGGCTGCCCATCCCAGGTTCAGAATCCGGCACTTGTCTTTCTTAAAGTTCCTGCTCTTGGTGATTGCCCAGCCCTAGGTCACATTGAGCTTCTCATCAATCAAAATCCACAAGTTCTTCTCCTCTGGTCTGCTCTCAATCCGTTCTCCATCCAGCCTGTATTTGTGTTTGGGATTGCCCAGACTCACGTGCAGGATCTCGCACTTGGCCATGCTGAACTTCATGGGGTTCACACAGGTCTACCTCTACCTCTCAAGCCTGTCAAGGTCACTCTGGATGGCAACTCTCAAGCTTGTTGACTGCACCACACAACTTGATATCATCAGCAAACTTGCTGAGGGTGGACTCAATCCCACTGTCCATGTCAGTGACAAAGATGTTAAACAGCCCTAGTCCCAATACTGACATCTGAGGATTGCCATCTGTCACTGGTCTCCACTTGGACATTGAGCCATTGAACACAACTCTTTGAGTGCAACCATCCATCCAATTCCTTATGCACCAAGTGGTCCACCCATCAAATCCATGTCTCTCCAGTTTAGAGACAAGGATGTTGTGCAGGACAGTGTCAAATGAAAGACCAGGTAGGTAGCGTCAGTTGCTCTTCCCTCATCCACCATTGCTGTAACCTTGCCATAGAAGGCTACCAATTTTTCAGGCATGATTTGCTTTTAGTGAAGCTGTGTTGGCTGTCACCAGTCACCTCCTTATTTTCCATACGCCTTAGCACAGTTTCCAGGATCCTTGATCTTGCCAAGCACTGAGGTGAGACCGACTAGCCTACAGTTCCCAGGGTCTTCTTTTTTTCTGTTTTTAAAAATGGAGGTTGTGTTTTCCCTTGTGCAGTCAGTAGGAACTTCATCAGTCTGCCCTGACTTCTCAAATATGATGGGTAGTGGCTTAGCAAGTTCTGCCAGTAACCTCAGGATTTGCAGCTACATCTCGTCAGGTCCCATGAGCTTGTGCACCTTCAGGTTCCTTAGATGTTCTCAAACCTGATCTTCTTGTACAGTGGGCAGTTCTTCATTCTCTCAGTCCCTGCCTTTGTCATCTGTAACTTGAGTGATGTGGCTGGAGCACTTGCTGGGGAAGACTGAGGCAAAAAATTGTCGAGTACCTCAGTCTTCTCATTGTCCTGGGTAACCAAGTCTCCTGTTTCCTTCTGGAGAAGGCACACATTCTCCCTAGTCTTCCTTTATCACCAGTGTACCTATAGAAGGTTTTCATGTTGCCCTTGACATCCCTGTCCAGGTTTAGTTCTGTCAGGGCTTTAGCTTTTCTAACCCAATCCCTGGCTGCTGAGACAATCTCTCTGTATTCCTCCTAAGCTACCAGTCCTTGCTTCCATCCTTAATGCTCCTCATGAATAGCATTCAGGTTCTTAGCTGCTCCGTGAAACCCATGAGCACGATGAAACCTATGGAGACAAGGATGTGTTTTGTTGAATCTTGAACGTGATTGTTTGAGGGGGTCATATAATGAAATTAGATTATGACAGATGGAGGTTGAGGATAGGGCGAAGCCTTGCACCTCATCAAGAAGGATACCTTCATAGCGCCTCTCACAGATTTCATGTCTAGTTGTGCTCTTGCGTCCTACACCTCTCACGTGTTTCTGCTTGCAAGATTTATCCACAACAGTAGAGAGATCTAACTTTTCTCTCTCCTTTTTTTACTTTTCCAGGGAAGGTAGCAAATCGCAGGCTAAAGGGAACGGCACTCCAGGACAACTCTTTTCCACAAAGAGGAAGAAACTGTTGTGCTCGGGTCCTTACCTTTCAGCAGTGATTCTGTGATGCAAGTTCCAAGAGTTCCTCTTTCTGTGATAATGTTCTCTATGGCCTCTTTTTGCTGATGTTTGTCACAGTTTTGGGCATAAAGAGAAAGGATGCTGAAGAATGGGTACCCTCCTTACGGCTTTTAGAACATGGGCACTTGTGTAAAGGTATGTGATTGCTCTTTGGTTGGAGGGATGGACTGTCTGCTGAGGCCAGCAAAGGGGATTTGCAGGGCTAGAAAGTCATGGCTATTGTTGAAGAGAAATACCTCATTTAAGCTTTCTGCATGCTGATGTCCGTTGTTGCTGCTGTTGAGATGACTGATCAATAACTCCCCTTTTGTGTTTGTTTAGAAGAAAAAAGCTTGAATACACAATGTAGCTTCTCACTAACTGAGTGGTGACATGGTGAGCTATATTGTATGCATTACTGTATGCCAAATCCTTTGTCTAATTGCCACACATGTTCCTTGTTGCTGCTCTTTTTCCATCTGTCAGCTATGTCTTATCAACCAAACAGCATGTTGTTGTTCTGGGTGTGGTCTTTTTACTACATGTTTGTTTAGCAGTCCCCTCAGTGAGAACTTGATTCTAGGTTGGTGTCTCTAAAAATTGGTGTAATCTTAATGGTGTACAAACCCAAAGTTTTAGCTTTCGTGTTGATCAGTGAGAGTTTCAGCTGAGAGGCTCCACTTTGCAGAAGCGAGTAGGAAAATACAGATTAACTGTTTTCCAATTGCATTAATACGTTCTATAGTGGACTTACACGGCAAAAAGTGGATTCAGCTCTGCCCTAGAAGGATTTTGTTTGTTCTGAATAAATTAGGATGGTCTTGTCCACAACTCTTTTATTCCATAGCTTTTTCTTCTAAGGTTGCTGGTTGAGGGTCAGCTTCTATCTGTTTTGGTGGTGGTTCTGTGATGTGCTTTCATATCAGACTAGAAGTTAACTTTGTGACTTGGAAGTAGGTGTGAGAGTTTGGATGAGTGGCTTTTGGCCACTGCTGTTGAAGCTGGTGATCCTGCAAAACGTAGCTCCTTACTGCAGTACTCAGAGCCCACTCTCACTGTTTTTAGAGGATAGTATGTTGTTCTTCTTATAGAGCCCTGAATCTGATTTGGAATCTGTGACAGAGGGAGAACTGTTACTGTAGCATGCTGTGCTGTTTGCATATTTCACAGTCTTATGGAATAATGCTTTAGAGATGTCCTTGGACAGGAAGACAGATATCAACAGGCATTTTTTCTGAGGGATCACAGATTAAATTTAGGCCAGTGTATGTGAGGAAGAGTCACTGGACTGGACTTGGCCTATTTTGTGTTCTAGATGCAGCTGTGATCCTCGGCTGTGTGTCTCACCGAAGGGACCTGATGTTTTACATTATTGGTAAGTGAAGGAAAGGCTGCCACTGTATTTGTTGACCTCAGTAGGCTTTAGGTGAGTTTCTTCAAAGCCTTTGATTTAATGTTAGTTCAGAGTCTACGTAACAAACATGAAATTACTGTCACCGCACACTGTGCTCTCCACCTGGCAGACTTGCCTCTCCACCATTCTTGTTCCTAAAGTCCTTTCATTGACCTGATTCCTGAGCCATTCCCTTACTTTTTCTTTCAAGAACTGGTGGAGAGTTGTTGCCTCTGTGATGCCTCTTAATCCATTCTTAATGTGATGTGCAGGGGTTGTATGGTTTTATGACTGTTTCCCTTAAAAGAATCTCTGTAGTTCTAATTTGCCACTCAAATGGAATTCCATGCTTCTGTTGGGATGGCTGCTAACCTTACCTGAGACTCTGTACCATCTTTACCTATTTCCTTTATTTGCAGTCATTTGCAGAGTTTTAAGCAACTTGGTATTCTCTAACCTTACTTGTAGCATAACACAAACCATAAATGTTCATGCAATAGCTTCTGCCTTAAACACCTAATTTGCAGTTGAGTAGAATGTCATTAACAAAAGGCATCTTGGGCTGATGCAGAGGGGATTTTAGTGCCTGACTCAGCCATGCTGCTGCAACCACCTTTGTTCTCTCCTTGCTGCAGGTGGGATCACAGTATTTGTTGTAGCTTTCTTCTTCACCATTAAGTTCCTGTTTGAGCTTGCCGCACGTATAGTCAGCTTCCTTCAGCATGAGGACCGGGAACGCCGAGGGGAGCGAACTATTTATGACTACGTGCGAGGCAACTATTTGGATCCCCGGTCCTGCAAAATCTCCTGGGATTGGAAGGACCCCTATGAGGTGGGCCATAGCATGGCCTTCCGAGTGCATGTAAGGCAATATTTCTGTTTCCATTTCCATGCAGCTTTGTGGGTAGGAACAGAGGTCTGAGTTAGGGATGGGCTCTTCAAATGTTTTTTTTGGGGGGGGCTAAGCCAGATATAAGTTAGGAGTAGGAAAACTATCTGTTTATGCCTTTTGCCCCATTAATGTGTTGCAGAAATCTGTAAGTGCATATTTCAGGCTTGCACTTCTTAAAAGTCTTATATCTCTCTCTCTAGAATCCTCTGAAGAGCCAGAGGAGATGAGGCTTGCCCTAACTACTGCTTCCTTTACTGGGAAGTGAGTGGGCTGAGCCTTGCCTTTAACAGACTCGGTGCTATCTTTTGGTTGTGCAGCTGAAGTTGAGAGCGTGGGAATGGGCATTTTACCAACCCAAAAGCAGTAAGGCTTCATGGCCACTCCCCATTCCTCCAAAATGGAATGTTTTTCTGTCTGACCTGGAAAAGCCTGCCAAGAACTCTTGTTTCCCTACAATCCCTAAAGCCCAAGTCTAGGGGAATGGGACAAGTACACAAATAAGATGGGTGAGGAGCCTAAACACAGAGAGTTTGGAGCTATGTGGAGAAAGTTTGAACAGGTTTTGCTGGGCTTGTGTGCCCATCTTTCCGTCCCATCTTCCCCATCCAGGAGGGTATCAAAATAAGAAGAAAGGTTCAGCTAGGTTGCTATACCCATCCCTCTTGGGAAGGTGACGAAAACCCTTCTGCTTGATGGTGAGTGAGAAATTCTAACTTCAGGTCAGGCAGTGAAAAATTGCTGAGGGGAAAGGGACTTGTTCTGTACCTGCTCTTTGAATTTATTCTCTTCACCTTACTGACACTCACTCATGGCAGCTCCAGCAATGTGCCCTTCCACTTCATGCTTGTTTCCCATTTGCTTAGCCCTTTATTCATCAACAGTAGCTGTTGCATATGCTGGTTTCTCTCACTGACAGTCAAGATGCAAAATACTTCAGGGCCTACAACCTCCCTTACTTACAAATAGGGAATATTAGTACCTTTTTGCTGTCTGCAGGCTGATTGCAGATGGCAGGGAGGCTCTGGCCTACAAGCTGCTGGCTCTTGAAGAGCCATGTGTAGGGTTTAAAAGGTGTAATTCTTTACTTGTAAGGAAGTATTGGTCGAGGTATGTTACCTTTTGAAATTGTCCGGCAGATCAATTCTGTGATTGAACAGTCTGTGATCTTATCTAACACATTGTTTTTGTGCTGATGCTTCTTAGCAGTAAAGACTGGGTCAGCTCCTTAGGTCAGCATCTTTTTTACACTATTTTCTATAACAAATTGGTGAGAGCTTTTCCAGAGCTTAGCTATATAAATGAACAAGATCTGCTGGCTTTACTTTTTTCCTTTCGATAGTGGGTTCTCTTGATTTCTGCTCTGATTTTGCACTAGCAGTGCAGACAGGAAATGCCTGGAGTCATGTTCTTTTCAGGGCACACATTTGAACCCCAGCACAAAAGACAGTGCTCTGTTCATTTTGGAGAACACAGCCAGTGTGACAAAGTTGTCTATTAATTATTTTTCATTTGCTGAGCTGGGGTTCTTTCCCTTCCCTAAGGCAACTTGCTTTCTCTTCCTCTGTGCACTGCATATTTTTGTTGACCTGGACTTCTGTTTCCCATGCAGTTATTCTATAAAAATGGGCAACCCTTCCCTGCTCACCAGCCTGTGGGGCTGCGTGTTCACATCTGCCATATGGAGTTAGCAATTGATATTCCTGTAACCCAGGAAGTTCTTCAGGAGCCCAATTCCAATGTGGTGAAAGTGGCCTTCACTGTGCGCAGAGCTGGAGGATACGCGATTACTGTAAAACTCGGTGGCTTGAATGTGGCCTACAGCCCCTACTACAAGGTGTTCCAGCCAGGTAAGGTCTAAGTGGCCCTCTAATGATTCAGAGTAGATTTGGAGGTGTTGCAGGCAGTTAGGTAAATGTGTTTCCAGCTAAAACAGGTAGGTGACAGGGAAAAAGTTACCTTTCACCATTTACCTCCTGCCACATGTAGATCCTAGCAATAGCCCCATGAGTAAAACATACTTGTGACTACCAGTACCTGGCAAAACAGAAACTGCCTTACAGAAAAGTCATTAATGCTGCTTACAATCCCTAACCACTTGTGTCATGTTCTCTGTTTTGTAGTAACTTCTTCATAATCCATCTAGTAGTCAGAGAATGCCTTTTGTGAAAGTACTGAATTATTTGTATCTGAATTGGAAATGCTGTCATGATTTAACTCTGTCTCCTTTGAATACCTCACTCTATCCCTTTAAGCTCATGGAGCAGTTGATACCTTTGATTATACACTTCTTTAAAAACATTTCCTTTTTATCTGTATTAAATTTGTTTTCTACTACTTTTGGTTTTTTGACTCCAGTTGACATCTTTCATGTTTCATGTACATGTTCATTGAAAGGACCTCTATTCCACTGCACTGTGAATAGATACACGTTGCTAAGATATCTTTGCTAAGGAAGCTCTGGTTTAATTCAAATACGCTTCAGGCTAAAGTTTGTTTGGTAAGCTGCATTTGTATGTACAGTGGGAGAAACTTCCTGAGCTGAAGGTTAGAATGGTGGAAAAGACTAGTAACTGGGTTTGTTTTATTAGTATTAAGTTTCTGATCCAAGACAAATACTATGCACTACACCATATATTTCAGTGCTCAGATACTCTGTTTTGAATATCAGAGAATCAAATATGTTTAGATTTGATCCGTTTTCAAGGGTATTGTGCCCCTAGTTGCTTTTGTTTTGCTTTTTGTAGCTTTGCCTTGGAATTTGTTTCACTCTAAATTGTTGTTGTCTGCTTCAGGAATGGTGGTTCCCTCCAAAACCAAAATTGTTTGCCATTTCTCCACTCTGGTGCTGACCTGTGGGCAGCAGCACACTCTGCAGATAGCTCCCAGAGATGAGTACGACAATCCCACCAGCAACTCTGTGTCACTGATAGATGAGCACAATTACAGCCTCTCCATCCATGAGGTGAGTGCAACCTCCTCCCTTACTGCTTGACTCCAGGTGAGCTAGAGAGCTCAATTTATTTGTTTTCTGTTTAGCTGGGTCCTCAAGAAGAAGAGAGCTCTGATGTGGTGTTTGAGAAGTCTGTGGTGTCTAATCGGCAGACTTGCGAGGTGCTCTTTCGACTCACCTTGCACTCTAGGGGGTGTTTCCATGCCTGCATCTCCTACCAGAACCAGCCCATAAGCAATGGTGATTTTGACATCATTGTTCTAAGCGGTGAGTCAAGACTTACTCAGTATTCATTCTCCGGGTGTCCTCTTACAACGTGCTTTGCACACTCATGTAGCACAGCTAGTAGTGGCTTCCCTGCAGGCTGACCATGCTTAATTGCTAAAGGAAAGCACATTAGTTTAAAAATGCTAAGATAAATGAATTTGTTGCTTAACAAGGAAGATCTCTGAGGGTTGATACTCTCTGAGCCATCAGCAGTTAAAAGCAAGTGTTTTTCTTCTATTTCAGGAGATTTACCTCTGAAATAGGCAATTTTTATTGCTTGCTAGTAGTTGGCATCTGAGCCACTCATGTATTGTATGTTAATTTATATGGATGAACAACACTGCATGTAACCTATGTGGGATTTTGTTTTATGATGTTATAATTTCTTCAGGAGTGAGCCAGATTTCAATGTGGCTGTCAAGTGGCTATGCCTTCAGGCTGGTGCTCTGAGAGAGAGGTTCTGTATGCCTTTTTTCTTTAACCAGTCACTATCTGAAACCATGACAGACAAACTGCCATCATGAAATCTTCTCATACCACTCCTGGGTTCTCTTTATTAAAGTTTCACTTTACCAGGTTTTGCTTTGGATATATAGCCTTTTCTTTAGAATCATAGTCACTGATTTGGTGCTAGCCTGTGTATTCTTTTTCATTCTGTTCTCCATTAGTATTTACACAACTCTTTCATATCTATTTCCCTCAGAGAATGAAAAGAACATTGTAGAACGCAATGTGTCCACCTCAGGTGTCAGTATTTATTTTGAAGCCTACCTTTATGATGCTCCTAGTTATACCAACACTCAGTGGCAACTTCCACCAATGCACCTGAGCTCCTCCCAGCGCCGTCCTTCTACTGCAATTGAGGATGAAGATGAAGATTCTCCTTCTGACAGCCAGACGCCTGAGAAAGTGAAAAAGCCTAAAAAAGTGTACTGCTATGTGTCACCTAAGGTAGGTATCATAAAGTTACTGCTATTGAGTGCACGTTTAAAGTACGCTGCAACTGAAGCATTTCTCGTGCTCTGTATCTTAACTCCAGATTTAGGTGCCTCAGATTTAGTTAAAAAAGGCTTGCCCAAGGCAAACATGGAGCACATGACTAAGAATAATGTGAAAATGCATTTTGAAATTTTAGGACTGTGTCTTTCTAGGTCTGATCCAAAGTCTACTGGGAATTTTCTCATTGATTGTTCAATAGGTATTCTGTTTGCCTTTCCTTTGTTCTGGTCAGGTCAGACCTCCAATTCCTATTCTCAGTTTCTGATACCTATAAACTCGAACTTAACAGAATCTTACCTTCTCAGATTTTATGTCTTTGTCCTGTTTCTGGAATGTTACACTGAAAAGGAAAAAAAAGTGGTTTGAGGACAAAAGGTAATTTTATAAGTAGAAGAAACAGGATTCAAGCAAGTCAAGAGAAACTAAGGATTCTCTTATAGTAACACTATGTTAACAGTAACTATTACGCTTTATTATTGCCTAAGAACATTTGGAAACTAGAAAGAAAATTCCTTTAAATCTACTAACGAATTCAAATTCACTTTGTTAATCTACCTATTCAAATGCATTCTAAGAAAAGCAGTGGTTAATATAAAACTGAAAGACTAATGCAGGAATTGCTTTTCTGGCAAAGGGAGAAAGAGGGCTGCGAAACATTTATAGGATGGAGTGTGCTGCTAGACATTTCTGAATTTCTGATGCATGTGGCTGTAAGAACTGTCTTTGGGAATGAATGCTGTGTCCTCATGAGGTCAGCATCCTTTCGTCCTTGGTGTATCATTTTGGACTTTCTTACTCTTTTCTACTTGGTAAAGCAGATCACCAGAAGTGGGTACTGTTGCAAGCTCCCTTGAGGTGCCAAAGTTGTTAATGTGATTGATGCTTTTGTAATGGCTCCCTGGATATCTCTATATAAATAGAAACAGTGGAAAACTGTTACTATGCTGTTATTTCTTTTAAGAGGTTGTTGTTCACATTTGGTTTGTTTCTGGAGAAATGCTACTTGTCAGTTTTTCCAGTTATTGCAACTAGAACAGGCTTGTGCAGGAAATGGTTTTGTTTTGTATAAAGATGCTAAAATTTCATCTTAACTTGCTCTCCAGAAGACAGCAGTTCCACAGTTAGTTATTTGTTCTGGCAGAAATACATTGTGAGAAGAAACTTCTGCAAATCTTGTGAATTTAGCAAGTGCTTTCTAAAAGATGATTGAAATGATTGTGAAAATTTGGGATTAATATTAGTAGTCTGTTAGCGTGACTTTTACCAAAACCTTTTTGTCGGTGCCTTACAGTCATGTCCTGAATTCAGCTTCTCAAGCGTACTTAAGATTACTATCCAATTAGACTGGTGATGTTCTACTGAACACAATGGCTTACTGCTGTAAAATCTGTGTCATGCTGGCATCCCACATGCGTCATTAATGCACACAGTGAAGTCTTACTGACAAGTTGCTTACAGTTCTGTGGAGCGTTAAAGACTCATATATTGTGCCAAATGTTGCAGACACCTGTCCCTGGGGTTGAAGGGAGGTCTAGCCTTATGGAACTGTCCTGTGCCTCATATGTTTCAGGGACAATCCTTAACAGATGTGTGACATTTAACATTTTCTTTTCCTTATGGTTACTCAGCAATTCTCAGTGAAAGAATTTTACCTGAAGATCATTCCATGGCGCCTTTTCACCTTTAGAGTGTGTCCTGGCACAAAGGTGAGCCTCTTTCCATGTATGTGCCACGGCACCCTCCATGTTGTTAGCTTGTCGTCCTTATGAATGATGGTCTTTTTTTTTCTTTTGGAGAGAAGGGCTTCCACCCACAGAACAACATTTTATGGCATAAAATTCAACTCTCTAATTCCCTCCCAGTGCCCAAGTTTTGCTAATATTTGTGAATAGAAGGCAGTCTTATTGCTGCTTTCTGCCTTTTATCCCAATGCTAGGCAAGATCTTGATTCCTTGCATTTTTCATTTTATTTTCCTCATAACCTTGCTAAAATGCTGTGATTGTGTCCACTGAAGCCCTTACGCTAGTGTGTGAAGTTTGAAGCAGCCTCCTAACTGGAGTCTTCATGCTTGAAATAGTGTTCCTGTTAACTGCATACGCATGGGTGAGCAGAAAAAGTCTTAGAGCACAGCTGATGTTGCTCTGTCTACTGAACATACTGTGCCTTCTGCATGATGGGTTTACCTTTTCTTGCATCTTTTTGCTGCTAGTTTTCATACCTTGGTCCTGATCCTGTGCACAAATTACTGACACTGGTGGTGGATGATGGGATCCAACCCCCTGTGGAGCTCAGCTGCAAGGAGAGGAACATCTTGGCAGCCACTTTCATTCGTGCTCTGCATAAAAACATAGGTAAAGGGGCAGTGAGGTGGGTACAGTAGTCAGGAAGTTAGCACTTGAGTCTGCTGGTTTCCCTGGGGAATAAAGATTGCCAGCACTGAATAACTTCCAATGAGAACTGTGATTCCTGGAGTCTCATGCTCTGTTCCTGTTGGTGCTTCCAGTGAATGTACTTTGGCAGCTGTTCCTTTTCAGCTCAGCTTCTCTGTCAGGCTCTTTGAAAGAGCACCTGTGGGTATGAATATCAGCAAGACTAACTGCAAACTGCCTTGAGAGTTCTGTCTCCAAACCTTGCTGTAATAAATGCACCTTTGGGCTGTTAAGCTGACCTGTGCAGCTAATCTTAGGAATGCTGTCTAGATGTTTGAGGTGCTGACAGCTCAGGCCTGACTCAAATTGTCACTATTCTCAGGAGGCTCTGAAACCTTCCAAGACAAAGTGAACTTCTTTCAGCGAGAGCTACGTCAGGTGCACATGAAAAGACCTCATTCGAAGGTCACGCTGAAGGTCAGCCGTCACTGTCTGCTGGAGTCGGTGAGTGTATAAGTCACTTTACTTAACTTGAGTGCTTCCTCCATCCTTTTCCTTCTGCTTGGTGCCTAAGGAAATTCAAACTGGAATGTGCTAGGGCAGTCATACTAAAAATGATTAGTCCTTCTGTTTCAAGGCAGATGCCAGCAGATAGCTTTCCAAAGATGAAAAAAAGAAAAAAAAATCCCAAGTAGCTCCTCTGTGTTCTGGTTTGTTATTAGGTGGAATGCTGTATTCCTTCTCTACAGGTAGCAAGATCTGATTGATTTCTTAAGCAGTTAGGCAACTTCAACTCTGATAAATTTTTAAGGAACTTGTCACAGAATAAATCAAGCCTTGAGAGATGTCTAGGGTAAATTATAGCCACAAGCTGTGCCAGGGGACAGATTGGACATCAGGAGGAATTTCTTCGTAAAAAGAGTTGTTGAACATTGCAATGGACTGCTCAGGGAGGTTATGTAGTTGCCATCCTTGAAAGTGTTCAACTGGACATGGCACTTAGTGCCATGGTCTAATTGACAAGGTGGTTATCAGTCAAAGGTTAGACTCAATGATCTTAGAGGTCTTTTCCAATCTGAATATTTCTGTGATTCTGTAAATGGATGCAGAGACTGTCTACCTGGACCAGGTTTGGGAGCATAACACAAAGTCCTGAGTCATTATCTACTGTTTTCCTGGCACAGAGCCATTCAGTGAGATAAGGTGTCAAGTCAGGTGTTACTGAGCTGCATGCATAAAACTCTTGCACCAACAGGCTACTAGTAGTGGTTCAGAGTGAGGATGAAGTATTTTGTTGAGTCCTTGAGTTAAGTCTTCACCAATTCTGACCTGAGCTGTTGCGTTTCCAAAATGGAACTTAGTCATTCATATAATATGGTTCTTAAATGACATTCTCAGTACTGTGTATGCAGGGAAGGCAGTTGTCCTGACTTATTGTTTCCACATGTGTCTCATAACAGTAATGTTATAAAGATGGAAAAGAACATTTCTGGGGCAAGCAGGAGTGGCTGGGATTTCCCTTGATTTACACTCAGTAAATCTGTGTTTTGGAATATTTTCTGCATGTACCAGCTTGCAGTGTTTATGAGATTATGTTTCAGTTAATAGCTTGCTACAAAATTACTTCATTTCTAAACAGCATTTTCGTGACTGTTTTGTCCTATTATATTGGAAATTCCTGCACTATCTTGAGCATTGGTGTTAGAGCCTAGTAAGACAAAATAAATCCAATGCCATAATAATAATAATAATAATAATAATAATAATAATAATAATAATAAATATAAGCTTTAGAGACCAAGGTTGATAGGCACAATGAATGTCACCAATGTGTTTAGCCCAGAGTTGTGACTAGCATGATGTTCTACCCTATTTGAAGATAAGCTAAGCCAAAAGTACCCGTATGACTGAGGACTGCCGTGTAGCTTTTTAAATTTTCTTTAATTGGAATCTGGAATTGGGGCACAGGAAGTTCTAGACACTTGAGATATTTTATTACTTTTTTGCATCGTGACTTGCTCTAAGTATGAACTCAGTGATTCTTTTCAAGCTATTTTCTGGTGCTCTTTGAAACAATCCTATTTTAAATCTAACTCGTGGGCTGAGAGTGCTTTTCAGAAATTGCTCCTTCCCACAGGCATTTTAATACTTTAAACAATACTGTACTGCAGCCTTGAGAAGGATAATTCTATGCTGAGACCTCACACTGTTCTAAGATGAACTGTATTTTATATAGATAATGTGTCTCAGAAAATGAGGAATTTGCTTCTGTGGCTTTGGACAAATAAGAATTAGACCTTAGGCATTCTAATTCTCACTTTTATATTTTAGAGTACTAGACTACTTATTGGTTTTTTGTGTTGCTTAAATTGCCCAGTCATATGTGCAGGACTGAATATTGGTTATGGGGTGCCAAGCAGTAATGGCTGCTGCTATTTTATTTTTCTTTTTTTCAGTCTTTTAAAGCAACACGAAATTTTTCTGTTTCTGACTGGAGCAAAAACTTTGAAGTGATTTTTCAGGATGAAGAAGGTGAGTTATGCTATGAATATATATGAGGAGGAAGCAAAAGGAATGATGGTGCAGTAGTTTTAATCTGAAATGCTGTTTTCTTTTAATATGTCCATCCTTTGTGGCTTTTCAGCTCTTTCACTTTCTTACAGATGTTAGTGAATTATTCTGCTGGTGCTATTCTATACCTACTCACATAGGGACCTGAGGCCTTATGTATAACTCCACCCCTCACCCCCTAAAAAACCCACAAATTAACAAAAAAACCCAACTAGGACTAGGTTTGGGAGCAGAACCTAGAGTTCTGTAGTCCCTGTCTACTGCCTTTTTGCTAGGTAGCTGTTCACTGTGATGAACTCTCGTGTCAGGTAATACTGAGCAGCACGCAAGAAACTCTTGAATTGATGACCCATGGATGACCAAGCTTGTTTTATCTTGTAGCTCTGGACTGGGGAGGTCCACGCAGAGAGTGGTTTGAGCTCATTTGTAAGGCATTATTTGATACCACCAATCAACTGTTTACCCGCTTTAGTGATAACAACCAGGCCTTGGTGAGTCTGCAGTTCCTGTGCCAAATGCACAGAAATGTGAGCACTGACATGCTTATGGTTAAACAATGCTGCTATTAAATTGTATGGAACCTTACCCATTCTTTAGCTTGCTTGTATAGTCACTTCTAGTGCCTTTCTCAAAGCTTTGCTTAATGATCTCAACCCATTGAAATGTCAAAGAACTGGCTGGATGAACATTAGAGGGTGGACAGTCAGCAGGGAAGGCTGGATTTTTGGGCAAGAGGAGGTGGCATCAGAGTGTCTAGAGGTTCTGTTGGTTCTGAATGTTTCAGAATCCATTTCTGCTCTCATATAGCTTCTTGCTTGTGCATGTGAAACATTTTGTATTCTTCCTAGGCAGGCTCAGGCATTTTATTTCTGTTGCTTGGCTTTGAGGACATTACAATAAAGCTCCTTGGACAGACTGAGAGATGCCATGACTTGAACTGGTCCCATATTTGCTATTTGTGCTAGTCGGACTGGATACCGATACTTGGATATTTAATTTTGCTTCCTCTCTGCAGGTGCATCCAAATCCAGGGCGTCCCACATATTTACGACTCAAAGTGTATGAATTTGCAGGCCGCCTGGTAGGAAAGTGTCTTTATGAGTCATCTCTGGGAGGTGCTTACAAACAACTGGTTCGAGCTCGCTTCACCCGATCCTTCCTGGCTCAGATCATAGGACTTCGTATGCATTACAAGGTAAAGGTTCCCAGCCTTGTCTGAAGCCTGTGTTGGTCTGGGGAGAGGTTGAATGCTGGTGTAGTAGCAGACCCAGAGTCCTGGTTAGCAAAGTATGAGGGTTTTTTTGTTCTTCCCTCCATGTCTCTGCTTTCTTATTCTTTCACACAGTATTTTGAAACGGATGACCCAGAATTCTATAAATCCAAAGTGTGTTTTATACTGAACAATGATGTGAGTGAGATGGATCTGGTCTTTGCTGAAGAGAAGTATAGCAAAACAGGACAGCTGGAGAAGGTGAGGAAGGCAGTTCCTGAAGGTGGGACAGTTTAACCCCTAATGCCTGCAGTAATGGGGACCAAGAACTCTGCTACATGCCCCAGAAAATTGAGCTTACTCAGGGCAGTAGCTCCTTCCTTGTTTTTTTTTCTAGCTGGGCATTCAGGTTTGGGGAATGCTGCTGATCACACGTTAAGTGTTCTCCTGTTTTCAGGTGGTAGAACTGGTGGCAGGAGGGGCTCAAGTACCAGTGACAAACGAAAACAAAATCTTGTATCTAAATCTGCTTGCGCAGTACAGGCTGGCCAATCAGGTTAGAGAGGAGGTGGATCACTTCCTGAAAGGTAACATGCTGCCTGCTCCCTGCTCCTCTCTGCCTTTATGTCCCAGGGCATAGCACATGCTGCTCTTCTCTTCTCTTCCAGGTCTTAACGAATTAGTTCCTGAGAACCTGCTGGCTATTTTTGATGAGAATGAGCTTGAGGTAATTGCTGCCTTCCTAAGCATCTCTACCTTTACTTCCCCATTTTAAATGTTCATAACTTGCACAGTAGCTGTTGCCTTGTTTCCTTGGCTCCTGGCTTTCTGACTTCAGTCTCTTACCTTTCAGTTGCTTATGTGCGGTACTGGAGATATCAGTGTCTGTGACTTCAAGGCACATGCTGTAGTGGTGGGAGGATCTTGGCACTTCCGTGAGAAGGTAAGTGAAAGGGTTCCTCTCTTCTACTTGTTGAAACCAGTTATCCCAACTACAGCAGAAGATAAACTGGGAACAGATGTTTTGGTTGGAATTTAGGATTTCAGAAGGACAAACTGAGCAATTCAGGGGTCAGATAGGACTGCACACATTATGAAATAATGTTTCTCCCTAGAGTGATCCTTCAGCTTGGCTGACTAGGGGTGATGCTTAATCAGATACCAGCAAGTAACAACCATCAGCAGTGGTCTCTTTAAAAAAAATTCAACAAAGCACTAAAGAACAGTTCAGCCGGGAATCAGGACGAGTTGGTGGGAATTATTGCTACTGAAGATGTTCATGGTGATATACTTATATCTAAGAGATGCTTGAAAAACATGTTTGCAGCCCACATGTAGTGTTTGGAATTCAGTGCTGTGATGAAGACTACTGATGTAGTAGCTTAAATTTGTACCCTCTGATGGTTCCCATCCCTCCCTGCATTTCCCAATGAGAGGGTTATGGGAATAGTAGCAGCTTCATTTAGAAAAATAATGGAAGCTGCCAAAACACCCAAGACGAAGATAGAATGGGATTACAAGTTTCTGTCTGTAAACACTGGATGGTTCCATCTTTCTGCAGAAGTACCAGACAATGTGAAAAAACATAGACTAGCATAGTGCAAGAAGCAAATGACTTTTCTGCATTGTAAACCTATCTCATTGCCTATGCAGGTATTTCTAAAAATCTCTGTGGGGAGAGCAGAAGCAGAAGCAGCCTTTCTTTTTTAAGGGAAAGGATTGGTGGGAGATAGGAGCATGGGACATCTCTTAACTGATTAGAAACTATGTAATACTTGCCTCTATGTGTCACTCTGGTAAAACAAAACAATTCTAACTATTAGTAGAGTGCTTGCTTGCAAGGGCAATTGACTGATCTTCTTGCAAGTTGCTAATGTGCTTACTTAATTTCCTTGGCTGACCTGTCTTTATGTTCTCTGTTTCTTAACAGGTCATGAGGTGGTTTTGGACTGTGGTGTCCAGTTTCACACAGGAAGAGCTGGCCAGGCTTTTGCAGTTCACAACTGGTTCCTCCCAACTGCCCCCAGGAGGGTTTGCTGCACTCTGTCCATCTTTCCAGATCATTGCAGCTCCAACTCACAGTACTTTGCCGACAGCCCACACTTGGCAAGTATCCTGGGGTGGTAGGACTTTCTGCATTGTGCTTTTTGGAGCAACACCAGCCAGTTGTGGTGGGCAAGCAGTGTATGTCATGTAATGTATTTGATGCTTGTGTCAACCCATCTAAAAGCAGCTGATGGGGATGGTTCCCTCTCAGATCTAGTCTGAATGGAATTTTTCTTTTGTTTTACAGTTTTAACCAGCTGTGCCTCCCTACTTATGACTCCTATGAAGAAGTGCACAGGATGCTGCAGCTAGCTATCAGCGAGGGTTGTGAGGGTTTTGGCATGCTGTGATTTCCCCTTTCCAGGAGACCACTTAGCCTCTTGGCTCTTCGTGGCAAGACCCAGGTTCAGTCCTCTGCTTGTTCTCCTTCCCTTCATACGGGCAATGGAGGCAGAGCAAAGACTCTATGTAAAGGAATTTGTCATTCAGAAGATGTCATGTGGCCTTTCTGTATCCCAAATATGTCATCAAGAGCTCATCTTTTCCCTTTTCCTCATTCTCCATTTGGTTCAATGTGAAACAGCAAAAGGACTACAGTGCATTCATCAAGGAGATATTGCACTTGATTTCCATGTACCCTGTACACCCCTCCTTCTGTGGGAAGATGAAGTTCATAAGCAGAAGTTACAGGGAGGTGCAGGAGATCTGCTGAGCTGCCTTTATCGTAGCTCTCTAGGAGGAAGAGGGAAGACCAGCATGGAGCTCTGCTGGAAATCTGGCTCATGGGAAGCCTTAGTAACTTCCCATGTCTTGGCTCAACTCCCCCAGTGATGCTCCCTGATAGTTCATCTCACTGTGACTGGTAAGGAGTGTACAGTTGTCCATTCTTTCAGCGCCTGACCCAAAAGGGTTTCTGGTTCTCCTTCTCCGTCTTGCTCTGGATGCTGCTGTCATGTGCGCCACAGAGAAAAATGGGCAGTATCCACTGGAGGGAGTAACCCAAAGGGGAGAACAGTCTCATCGGAGCACACATGCTGGCCCTGACAGCGATCCTGTACTACCTCCACCAGGGTCCAGCAGCAGAAGCTGGTAATGAGCCTCTGCAAATGAACTGGAAGAGGAGTTTCTCCTCCAATGAATGTTTCTGACAGTTGATGTTGCACAGGAAGCTGTTCCATGCCCTTGCCTTCTGTTCCCTTCCTCAGGAGAGAGAGTATGGGCATGAGTGTGATCCCTCAATGCTGAGCACCAATGCCTATCCCACATTCACCTTCAGGGTATGTATGTTATGTAATAACAGTGACAGATCAATAAGCAGCTAGAGTGTGCACTGGGCTTGCATTTGTTGTTGGGGTGATGGTACTGGGCAGAACATGGTACCTCTTCTCCAGAATCCCACAGTGTCTTGGCTTCTACCTCTATCATGCAGCAGCCTGAGGCTTCTCTTTTTCTACTGCATTTCAGAGTGTCCAGAGAGTTGTTGGTGCCTGGAGAGCAGCTAAATTTCTGTCCTTCCATTCTTCTTTCTTTCTTCTTCAACCCTTTCCTCCTGTTCCATTCAGCGCTGTTGGCTTTCCAGCACAAAATGCTAACTAGAACTTCACTCAAGTGATCACTCAACAGCCTGCACCCACCATTGTCTGGCTTGGGGGAGGAGTGGGCAGACCAGCATGAGAAGTAAGTTTATGATTGGGGTCTGTTGTAGTTGGCAGTCCATTCAGCCCTTCCCAGGGGAATAAAGGGAATCTTGATGAGTTCTTCAGTGAAGCAAAACTCAAGTTTTTTGTTTTCAGCAGTCCCTTAGATGGTTCAAGTCAAAGGCATACAGGAGTCAAAGTTGAAGAAATCTGCATCGCTAATACCTGCAATGTGAGCTTTCACTGGATTATGGATTTGCTGGATTTCTTCCAGAATGGAGTTTCAGAGTGGCATGCCAAGCTAATTTTAGAACACCCTATTGGATAAAAAGTCACATCATCCTCTTCAGTCCCCTTCTGCTATCTTCAGGCCGATCCAATGAGACTTGTGCACAGTATGGATCTTTTAAGTTAACTGTCTGTGCTTTTCAAGTGTGGCTTAGTCGAATTGACTGGGAACTTGGGGGAAATATTCTATATCGAGAAAATGTTTTTAAGACAGCATCTGAGTCATTCTTGGGCTGTTACTTCTGTACAGAAAAAAAATAAGCCATTTTGGTGCCAAAAAGCAGTCAGCTGAACATGGAGACTACTCAGGGGGATTTCTTTGCCTTGTGAATTTATTCCCTCACTGGCACTGAGGTGCTGCGAGGCTGCCAGCTTGAGAGTTGCCACTCTTGTGCTCTGACAGATCACGTTAATAGTGGCTGTTCTCCCTTTTTTAATGCAGGCTGCATACTGCAAAGTTCTGACCTCCTTTGGATGGAGAGTATGGTACCATTTTATTTACACTGCAGATGACTTCCATGGTCAGTAGAGTTACAGAGCCCTGTGTTTTCCAAGACACCACTTCACTGCTTTCTCCAGGGACCGAGAGGAAGTGGCAGTGCTCAGCTTAACTCCAGTTTG